AGCATGAATTCCCAGGGGATTATGTCCATATGTAGAACACATATGGGTTTTAGAAAAGTGAGAAAAACTCAATCAGGAAGTAGGATCGAGCAAATAGTGCTAAAAACTGGTCGAAATTAGAACGCATATTTCTGGCTCGGTATTGGAAGAACTTGGCGCCAGCAAACAGAGTCCAGCGCCACCTTTTGGCTTTAGCGCCTGGCGATAGAAGTTGTCGCCTGGCGCTAACGTTAAATTGTTGGCGATAAGCTTTGTTCCCTAACGCTAGTTCCTACATGCCTCAGCAGCTTTCTGTGCTCGATAAAAATTTTCAGTTTCGCGCAGCAATATTTCGATCCTAGTTGTGAAAGATATTCCTCAAATTTCCTACGTGTAAAAATCCTATGTTTTTAACTCATTACAGATGCTCTTTCCAATGAGATCTTTTATATGAATATGACAATAATGTTAATCAAAATTACGCACATGAAATACTTAGAACTTTTCGAGTCTCATCCACTCATTCTAAATCATTGCCGAAATAAATTTCAGGAATTAAAATTGAAATCCTCCCCAGTGGAGTCGCCAAAAACTGTAGGGAATATTTCAAGCATTACCTCAAACTTGAACCCCACTGTGATTAGGGGTGTTCAAAAATACCCGACCTGAGCGACCCGACCCGCTGACCCGACGACCCGGTAAATTTCTGGCGGGTATTTATTTATTTTTTTTTCAAATTTTTTCGGGTCGGATACCCGACCCGGTAAAAAAGATTTGTGGCGGGACGGGTCATGGGTCGTCGTATGTGCTAATCAGGTACCCGCTGACCCGCTTTTTTTATTTATTTAAAATATATATGTACTACCGGTAAAACCCTAGTCTTTTATGTTCCCACTTCCCCTTTAGCAGCCGCCACACGCACTCTTTCATCTCTCCGTCCTCCATCCCTTTCATTCCTCTCTCTGTCCTCCAATGCTTTCAATCTTTCATAGTTTCATCCACCCTCTCTCTCTCTCTCCTTCATCTTACTCACAGTCACACATGGTCTTCAGCCACCGCGCGAGAGAATAATACCCTTCATCAACCCAGAAAATTGAAGCAACACAAGATCTCCTGCCGTCAACCGCAACGACAACCACAAGTACAAGATCTACTGTTGTAAATAACATGATGGGTCCAAGTTCATTCAAATTTGATTTTGAAAGAAGATGTTAATTTATAATTGTTAATGGTGTTTTCCCAAGTATGATAAAGTTTGCAACTTTGCAATTTCTTTAATCTTTTGGATTATAGGCTTGCGTGATGTTTAATTTGTTGTAGTTCTTTTTTTTTTTAAATATAATTGATTATAAGTTTGTTCAGTATAACGAATATTTATAGTTTATACTATAATAAAGTTTATAAAACTAACTTACTCACATGAAAGTGATGAATGAAACTATCAAATCAAGTTTTTTTTTTTTACAGAAAGAATTGGTGGATTAATAATTTCGGGTATCCTATGACCCGACCCGAGGGAATTCCCGGGTCGGGGCATGGGCCGACTTACAAACTACCCGAAGATCCGGGTACCCGCTTTTTCGGGTACTCGGATCTGGACACCCCTAACTGTGATCATAAACTAAAGCATGGTGGCGTCCAAAGGGAAAGAAGATAGAGAAAAAGAGTCGCCAACAAGTTTTAGAAACTTGTAAACCGTTCACGAGGTGAAGGTTACACCCCTTAGCGATCCAAGAGATCGTCAACTCCAATAGGTCTGGAACCACGACTGGTAGTTCGGGAATAAAGGTACAAATCCAACCTAAAAGAGATTGAACTTGCCCTAATAATAGGCCTCTACTTTATTCTGATCATATTTATGTGCGCTTTCTGACTAACATGCAATCATTAGGTTTACCCTAAACCTGTTTATCTATGTTGGTTAAATTTAATGCACAAATAAAACTATTATTGGCGATCACTTGAATTATAATCAAATTAACCCTAAATAAGATTATTTATTATCTTATTAAGCATGATTACAAGTATAAATTCCCTTTAAACATGCATAAAAGGTGTGATCAAGCAATGACAATAAATAATCAAGCAACATGATAATAATCATAATAATAATCATGATAATAATAATCATAATAAAAATATAATAATAATAATAATAATCATGTTAAAGCATAATAATAGTAAGATCCTAAGCATGATACTAGCAAGATTAATAACAAACCCTAGCATGACACTAAACAATAAAAATTAAAGCTTTAACCCTAACATGATACTAACAATCATAAATATTAGGAAGAAATATAAAAGGCATCATACTTTTAATCATACTTGATATTAGGATTTTTTAGTTGTTACCCTAAACATGATACTAGGAAGATCAAAGCACTCTAACATGACGCTAGGAATCATAATAACAGCCTAAGCATGATTTCTACATTATAATAAAAACCATTAAAGCACTTACTTGGATGCCTAGTACCTCTTTCTAATAACAAAATACACACGTTAGGAAATTCAAAGAAAATATAAACAAAAATTAAATTAAATAATTGAAATAGAGATTAGAGACCAAACCCTCGGAAATTAAAACCTTTCACGTCTAGGGCGAAGGCAACTTCGAATAATGCTAGGTGTTTCTTGGTCTTGTGAATGCGGAATTTTGTGTATAAAAGGTTGGTTTAGAAAAAGAGAGAAAGAGAGAGAGCTTTAGCTTAGAGAGAGAAGAGAATTAGAGAGTTGTTTATAATTCGTGATAATTGGTGATTGTTGGTGATGAAAAACGGAGTTTTTAGGAGGCTATTTATAGAGAAAATCAGCCAAAAAGATAGAAAAATAAATCAGAGTTTTGACGAGGAAAAAAGAAGTTAGCGCTAGGCGCTAATGTCTGTCATTAGACGCTAGTTAATTTTTTCACGCGTTTTCTAAATTCAGATAAAATTTAGCCGTACAGAAGGGCAAAATCGTATTTTCCTTAAAAACACTCTTTTATTATAATTAAAACTCTAAAAAGTCAACAAAAGTCAATTTATCAATTCTAATTGAATTAGGAATGAAAAGAACCTTCTAGAAAAATCTAGAAGACTAAAACCAATCCTAATTGCATTAGGAATGATTAATCCATATTAGGCCCTCCTCTAGATCATTGGGCCGCATATAAGGCTCAAACCGGGCCCAGTTTAGTAATTTGGCAATATTTCCTCATTATTCATCGGAATTGGGCTTATAATATATCGTTGGAAAGATCTTTTCAAACACCATCCAACTACACTATTATTGGACCCATAATATGGACCAACCAAACTGGATTGGCTGTTTTCTTAAAATAGGTTTTCAAAAACAGAGAGAAAAGAAAATAAAATTAAACTATCCGCAACACTAGACTTTCCACACTTTCACCTCATTTGATTATGATTCGACGTGAAAGGTACTCATCACCGGGTTTGGTTTTGGGGAGACATAAATGAGTATCTACACTACATGCTTTGATTTAGTGTAGTCTTGATTGTAATGTAGTTGTTGTTAATTTAGGTATAGCTCCAACTAAATTTACCTTGTAAATGTGGCATGGAGGAGTGTTTCAGAATCTTGACAATGGTGAATTGGTTTATATAAATGGTAAAGGTAGAACCTTTAATGTAGACCCTGATCATTTGTGTGGTTTTTATCTGTTGGAGTTGGTTATGAAGTGTGGAAAGTATAAGGATAGAGTAAAGGGGTTTATGTACTTAGTTCCAGGACTGAGTTTGAAAGGTGGGTTAAGGAGAGTTGATGATGATGACAGTATGAGGGAGTTGATAGATATTTCAATTAATAATAGGGATGTTGAGGAGTATGTTGTGCATGGTGATAATGACCTAGTCCTCTTCCCAAAAGAAAAGTAGCCTACCTCATCAAAAAAAACCCAAAAGTGTGAAACCCAAAAACATTTCTGTAAAGAGCGGACCACCAGTGAGAACAAGTCCAAGGAACAAAAGTCAGCCTCCCTTGACTATTTCTGAACCTTCCCAAAATACCCTTGACAACTCATTAAATGCCAAAGTAGATGCTCCAACCCCTTTTGTTGCCATTCCACCCACCAGTACTTTACCCAACCATAGTAGTATCAAAGTTAAATATGTTATTAACCCTAAATCAACAACCTCTTTCCTTCTTTCAGCTTCACAAACTAACTCTGAGCTTGTGAACACTTATGAGTGGGAAGATTCAAGACATGATAGCCCTATTCCAATAAATGAGCTAATCCCAATTGATAATTCTGAGAGTGACAGAGATAATACACCATACCAGCCACCGGAATCAGAATTAGATTTAGACAAAGGGAAAGGGTCAGGTTCAGTGAAAGAGGCAAATTCAAGCAAAGGGAAAGGGGCAGCTTTAGAGAAAGGAAAAGGGGTAGCCAATTTTTTTGGTGAAGTGTATTCAGATGTTGACAGTGATGCTGGTGAGGGTGTTGGTGCTGGTGATCAGGGTCTTCATGCTGGTGAGGGTAGAGCAGGGGAGGAACTAGATGTTGGTGAGGGTCTTGAACAAGAACTTGAAAGAGGGGAAGAGGTACAAGGGTTGGATGATTTAGAGGTTGAAGAGAGGGAGGAAATATTGGATGAAGAGCTGCAGTTTGAATCAGAGACTGAGGATGAGGAGTACACTTTAGCTAGACAAAGGGTTAAAGATACCACACCTAAGTTACTTGACAATGCTAGGAAAAGCCAAAAGGAGGCAGTTTAGTGTTTGAATTTAAACAAGGAGGGAGAATAAAGGGTAGAAGTTGGTGAGGGGAAAAGAACTGAGGTAGGTGAGGGTTCTGGTCCACAGAGTGACTATGAGCATAGTGATGAGGAGGTGCATACTCCACCTGACAGTGGTGAAGAGGAGCTAGAACCAGGGAGGAAAAGACAGTCCAACAAATTAGTGTCACTTGCACACACTAATTTTTTGGGACTTTTAATTGGGAAGTAGGGCAGAGATTTGCAAACAGGGTTGAGTTTAGGAGTGCAGTAGCTAAGTATGGGATCCTGGAGGGCATGGATGTGTATTTCAAAGTCAGTGACCGTGGAAGGCAACAAAGATTAGGTGTGTGCTGTGTTGAAGGTTGCCCATTTTATGTATATGCTTCATGGGACAGTAGGAGAGCTTGTATAGTGGTGAAGACTGTGAAAAGTGAACATTGGCGCCAAAGGAATATGAAGAGGAATAGACAGCTTAAGTCAAATTTGGTAGCTGGACAATTCCTTGAGGTATTCAAGACAAGGCCTCATTGGCCTACAAAGGAAATTCAAGAGTGTGTTAGAAAAGCTTTTAAGATGTTGGTGAGTAGGGACTTTGCATACAAGATTAAGTACCAGGCTCATAGGATGTTGCATGGTTCTATGCATGACCATTACAGCAAGCTAGGTGGTTACATGGTTGCATTGGAGAGAAGCAGCCCTGGTACTAGGTTGGAGTTGGTAACTGATTGTGAGAAGGAGCCTCCTACTTTTAAGAGGTTGTTCATATGCTTTGAAGGGTTAAAAGTGGGGTGGCACACTACTACAAAAAAGGTCTATGTTATAATAGGCTTTATAGATCGCCTTAGAGGCGATCTTCTGCTAAGCGATGTGTAAAGTTTACAGAACGGGTATAAGAGGCGTTCTATATGCAAGGGAAAAGAGAACGGGTACAAGAGGCGTTCTATATGAAAGAATAACAGTTCTCTTTCCTGTTTTTTATTCTTATAAAAAATAAATAAGAGAACGGTTAACACTGATAACAATTCTCTTTGTTGATTTATATTTTTAAAAAAAATAATAAATTTTGGGAGATTGCATATTTACTAATCTACATCAGTAATCAATAAATTAAATTGAATTGAAGTTGTAAAAATCGAAATCAAATGCCAAATTAAAACAAACTTTATTATCATATTCAATTAATTACATCTCATGCCTATAAAAAAAAAATTACATCTCAATATTTTGATACAATTCAATTAGCATAACTATCAATGTGATAGTATTGTTCTTCCTTAAAACATACATATATATACATACATACATATATATACATACATATACATACATATATATATATATATATATATATATATATATATATATATATATATATATATATATATATATTCAATGGCTTCAACCGCAGGTTCCACTTTCACCAACCTCAACCACTGCAACGTTTTCCACCAGCCTCATCCACCGCAGTGCCTCCACCAACCTCAACCACTGAAGCTCCTCCACCAATAGCGCACGCAAATAGCGAAGCCGCACCAAACACCCAAAATCATAGATGAAAAATCAGAATTTACCAAATCATAACATTAAAATCAATTGATAAAAGTTATAGATAAAAAATTAACAATTGGGAATTAAACAAGCTACCTCAATAAATGTTAAACACCAAGCAACCCGCAACAACTTGCTTGTGACCATAAACAGAGCAGAACAGAGATTTAATGGTTCGATCTTTCACGCTGGACTTTCGCGACGCACTGTATCGGAGTTGGGGTTGGAAAACAAGGCTCGTTGTATTTCTAGATTTTTCATATCAATAGCGGCGATGCAACGGTATGGACTAGACACTTGTAAATAGAGGAAGACGACGACGGAGAGGAGGATAATCGGAGGTTAGCTTGGTGTTTCTAGGACATTGAACCATTGAAGGATGAAGGTAGAAGAGAAAGGAATAAGAGTTTTAGAGGAGGTAAGAAGTGAAAGAAGAGGGGAAGTTATGGATGAAGAATGTAGGTGGACGGCTATCTTAAGAAGAAAGGGGAGTTAGGGTTAGAATTTTGGGCCCTTTCATATGTTAGATTATTGTTTTTTATTTTTAAAAAAATAATATTAAGCATATAGAACAGTTAACTAAGAGGAGAGATCTATATTGCAAGTGTAAAATATTTGGATATACTAAATAGAACGGTTAATTAAGAAATGCATTCTATAAAATAAATTTAAAATTTAATAAATATATTAAATAAATCAAATAGAACGGTTAACTTAGATAGACGTTCTATATTCTTCTGGAGAACGCCTACCTTTGGAACCGTTCTATATTTTGCGATCTCTAATCTAGTTTTTGGTGTAGTGCAGGAGGCTTGTAGGAAGGTGCTTGTAGTAGATGCTTGCTTCCTCAAGACTTTTTTGGGGGGTCAGCTTATGTCAGCTGTGGGAAGGGACAGCAATGATCAGATGTTCCTAGTATGTTGGGCCATTGTTGAAGGTGAGAACAATGACTCCTGGGAGTGGTTCTTCAAGCAAATGCAATCCACACTAGATCTGAAGGAAGGGGAAGGCATGACAATCATTTCAGATGAACATCAGGTTTGAACCCACTCACTCTCATGTTGTTTTGCTTAGCTGCATTTGTTTAAAAATGAAGTTAACATGTTTAACTTGGGCTCGTGGACAGAGTATCTTGCATGGAGTGTTAACTGTGTTGCCAAATGCAAAGCACATGCACTATGCAAGACACATCTTTGCACACTAGCACAAGACATACAGGGGAGATGAATTTAAGTTGCTTTTTTGGAGGATAGCTAAAGCTTTCTACATGGCTGATTATGAGGAGAACCTTGAGAAGCTAGGATAGGTGAATGTGGATTCTATGAATGCTTTCAAAGCCCACAACCCCAAGCTATTTTACAGGGCCTTCCTTAAACCTGACATCAAGACAAATGCCATTACAAGTAACATTTCGGAGACTTTCAATGGCTACATCATACAAGCCAGAACAAAGCATTTGTTGTATTGTCTAGAGGATATCAAACAGCTTTGATGCAGAGGATTCTGGTGAAGAAACAGACAATGATGAAAGCCACAACCATGCTTTGTCCAAGAATTCAAGCAAAGTTGGAAATTGAGAAGCAAAAGACAGCTGAATGTGAGGTTATGCCATCATCTGAAACCCTATTCAATGTCACTTAATACATGGACCAGCTAGTGGTGAATTTGGAAACAAGGAGCTGCACCTACAGGAAATGGGACATGCTTGGTATTCCATGTTGCCATGTATTGGCTTCTATTTATTATATAAGACAAGAAGCTGAGCAATATGTTGATCAATGCTACCACAAGGTAACCTACCTCAAAGCTTATGCAGGTATAAAACTAACTACTTGAAAACCCTTTACTTTATAACTTAGTCTTTTATTTTGTATGTAGTGTGTGTTTGTATGGTTTAGGATCTATTTCCCCATGTAAAGGGGAAAGGCATTGGCCTAAGGTCTCCTTGCCAGTTGACCCACCTCCAATTAAAATTGGATCTGGGAGACCTAGGAAGAACAGGATCAAGGATCCTTTTGAAAATCCTAAAAAGGCAGGAACTATTACCAGGAATGAGGTTGAGATGACCTGCTCCTTATGCTACACAAAGGGACATAACAAAAGAAAGTGTCCTGAGAAAGACATTAGGCAAGCCCCTCCTCCAGCTGCTAAGAAACCTAGAGGGAGGCCAAGGAAGGAGACTGTAGTTGCAGAAGCTACATCAACTTCTCAGGCTGCACCATCTACTGCCCACCACTCAATGACAGTACAACCTACTCAGCTAGGTAGAGGTGGTAGGATGATTCACATGGGAAGGGGTTCAAGAGGTGGCAGGCCAGGCTCTAGCTTTGGTAAGGGAAGTGGTGATGCAAGTGGATCTGGTTCTACAAGGGGTTCTGGTGCAATAAGGGATTCTGGTGCAGCTGGGGTTGTTGGTGCAGCAAGGGGTGCTGGTGCAGCTGGGGTTGTTGGTACAGCAAGGGGTGCTGGTGCTACAAGGGGAGTTGGTGCTGCATGGGGAAGGGGCAGAGGTAGAGGCAGGAACCAGGTTCCTGTTGGTGTAGGTGTAGGTGTCCTGGTTGCACCTGATGGGTCAGCAATAACTTCACTAAGTTTATGACATTGTAACTTTTCTTCTTTTTTTTCTCAATACCTAACACTAAAGCCCATGTTCTGATGTTTTTATGGTTTGTCCTGTTTGCAGACAACAAGGTAGCTGAGATCAACAACAACAAGGTTAGGGCAAACTGGTGAAGCTGCAAGGCCAGGCACAGATCAGCTATGGCTTAGTTCTAGATGAGTCAGTCAAGCCAGACCTCAACCCTGCATCAGCCTACTCAGTAGTGGATGGATGTCTCACTTAGGCATAGTTATAAAACTCTGTTTTAATCAATCTTTTGGGTGACATTGTTGTGTTGTCTCATAATTTGCAAACAATGTTTATGTGTACTGTATTTTGCAAACAATGACTATAACTTTGTAATATTTTGCACTAACTAACTACTTATCAATTATGAAATGCGAATGATATTCACAACAATGTTTATTTATTCATTACTTGAACATCATACATTAGATAGGTTAGGTGGCTAATAAACAACAACTATCATAATCTCTAAATTAAGCCACCTAAACCACCATTACCAGTACAAAATCAATTTTAAGCTTTCAAATAAACTAGAAACATTGCAAAGAAAATCCAAGACACAAACAGTGCAAGTGAGAAATTTTTTTCATTCCTAGTAGCCTTCATTAGTTCAATTATAGTGTGGGAGAGCTCCATTTTTGTATCATTCAATTCCTCTGTCTTCATGTCCAATTTCTTCTCCACAACCTTCAATTTCTCTTTCATGAACTCAAATTCTATCTCCTTCTCGGCAATTGAAGTGTCTTTCTCAAATAGCTTAAATCGCAATTCGGCATCACCTCCATTAGACACATTAACCAATTGGAAAAACCCACAATCACCAACCTGCAAAAGTAAAACCCCCAATTTAATTGAAATTTAAAACCCTAGTTCATATAATTCCACACAACAATTGTATTTAATTGACAAATTGAACTCACAGGCCAATTAGGGCACCCAAAGAACTTCATCCCTGCGTTATCACCACTTTTCTCCATTCGCACCACCGCAACAGCCCCACATCTGTACTTCAATCGTGACGAAATCAACCCAGCACCCCTTGAAGAAGAAGATTCGCTTGACATTGAGCGAAATTGGTGAAAAGCCTTGATTCCTTAACTGATTACATAGAAAAGGGGAGTAAGAATGTAGAGAGGGGTCTTTGTTGAGGAGAGAGAGAGAGGACAGAGGTCAACCCTTCTAACATGAAATTAAAAAAAAAGATCCGTTGGTGATGCCACGTCAGCTATGAACAGGCTACAGCAGGTTGCTTAACTGGTAGGGTGCAATGAAAATTAATACCCCCTAAAGTTGGGAGTGATACATAATAAACGAAAGTTGGGATTAATATGGGCGGACGAGTCAAAGTTCGGAATATTGCTAGCAATTTTTCCTTTTTTTTAAATAAACACAATAGTTTTTTTTTAAAAAAAAAAAAAATAAACACAAGTTTTTTTGTTCATAAAAAAAACAGTTTTTTTTTTTGTATAATCCGCAGGTTTTTAAAACCATATAGAGTAGATTTGATTTTTTTAATTAAAAAAAAACAAATATATTGAATTACCGGGTACCTGGTGACCCGACTCGGTATAAACGGGTACCCGTTCTTACCGGTTCGGGTAATGGGCCACCTAATTCACTACCCGCACTTCTGGGTACCAGCACTATCGGGTACCCGAAAACTTGGATACCTGTTTATGAACGCCCCTAGTCTCAAGAGCGCTGCAATATGACAGTAGTTTTGTCATTTTTAAAGGCCTTTTTCGGTTTAGCATTAATTTTAAGTGTATAAATTATTTGATGCGTATTGTAATTTATATTATAACTTTGGCTCTAGCCTATTAACATAAGTATGTCTCTTTGCTCGTGTAAGAAAAAATCAATAATATAGATAAACTAGATGAAGCTTGTGCAATGCATAGTTTATGATGTGGCACCTCAAGAGATTAACAAGGCCAAAGGGGTTTGCTTTCCTCTCGCTAATCCCCACTTTGTTTCAATAATATAGATAAACTAGATAAAGCTCGTGCGATGTTCAGTTTGTTTGTATTTTTCAAATAAAATATTATTAACTTTGTTTTACATATTTAAATAAAATTTCGTAATATAAAAATATAATATTTTATTTCACAAAGTTCCATATGTGGCTAGTCACACCGTCTGGTCAAGATTACTTGGTCAGGAGTTACTTGGTTGATCAAGGGTTACTCAGACGGTTAGTGTTACTTTGTCAGTGCTTGAATGTGTCTTAGCCAGACACATGATATAGCCAGCCACACAAAAACGCGCTAAAATTATTTTATAATTAATATAAATTTTTTAAAATAAATTGCATTTTTTTTTTCATTGGCTAAAGTATATCATTTTCCTATGTGATGCTCTAAAATTAATCTTACGTGGCATAATCCTAGTGTAGCATTTTAAAATTATTAATGCTACGTGGCGCTTTATTATTATAATCCTACGTAGCCCTTTAAAAAAAGTAATCTTATGTGGCATAATCCGATTGTAGTGTTTTTAAAAATATTAATCCTAAGCGGCACTCAAATAATTTTTTTAAAAAATAAAACTCCTCTTTATATATATATATATATATATATATATATATATATATATATATATATATATATATATATATATATATATATATATATATATATATATATATATATATATATATATAGTTTTGTGTGTAGGCGATGCCCAAATTGTTGATAAAATTTCGGTATAAACTTATTTGCTTGAATGTTAAATACGGTCCTACAATCTCTTTTGATAATGTACGTAGGGTATTTAGACATAAGATGTCATAGTGTTTATTTAACTAAAATAGTGTATTTTTTTGTAGTTTTGTTTGTGAATTGATATCTATGTTATTATTGACTTGATATTATTTTTATTGAACTTAAATTGTTTATTTACTAATTTCTTATTTTTAGTTTTTTAAATAAATTAAATGTATTATAAATGGATCTTATTTTAAACAACTTTTTAAAACGAATTTTATGATGAAAATAGAAGCTAGTTATAGGATATTTATTAAAAGTTATGATTAATTTTGTATATATGAAACATTAGAAGTATATTGATGATGATGATTCTCAAAAAACAAAAAATAAAAAAAGAAGTATATTGATGATAAAACTCTATACAAATTTTATCTAAAAAAAAACTATCCAAAATTAACTTACTTAGTATCATTTGTATCATAATAATATCTATTTTTCGCCTACGTGAAATTACATTTAGCAAAAAACAGGAATGCCAAATGTCGTTGTTGTCTCGTAGCCTGGCTGCGAGAGTGACTTTATTTATTAGTGATATGGTATTAGATCATTAGGATGAATTGTCTTTTATCACCATTTAAAACACGTTTGTTTAATTTTTCCACCCGTTTAAAACTTTATATTAAAAATACCACCCTATTAATTAAATACTACCTATGTTTAACATTTTTTGCAATTTTGAAGGGTGCACGGACTTTTAGGCAAAATTTGTTTGAGAGTGTAAGATAGAAAGAGAGAAATATGAATACATGTGATGAGGAGAGAGAAAGAGATAAATGACAACCTAAAAGGAAAGAAAAATTAATTGCAAATAATATGTAATATTCATTTTTGGCAAGAGTTGCAAATAATATGAAACGAATATAGTATACGAAATTAGATTTCAACACATCTTACCTTGATTCCGGTCAAGTTTTTAGCTGTGGCCCGTGGGAACCATAAAACGGTTACTTTAAGCATTTTAAAATCTTTAGTTTCTCCTCGATTTGTTTCCTATATAAATAATTTCCTTGGTAATACTTTTTCTATTTTTTTTTAACTTAACCTGTGCTTTGACTTTTGCACTATTCAACACGCCATTATTTTTTAGTGTCTTTACTAAATTATATAGAGGGAAGAACATGTTCGTGTGGGATTTAGTTAGAATCATTTAAATAAATACCATCACAATCTATAACTTCTACAATGTTTACTTATAGAGAATCAAAGTTATTGATGGTTAAGTGTGCATCAATAAGCGTGATAAAATA